GAGGTCAGGATGAGGAGGGGGAGGAGGGAGGGGGGGAGAACTGAGGGTAAGGGGAGGGGTCGGGCGTGGGGGAGGGGTCGGTTTCTCAGCCCAGGTCAAAGTCTTGGCCAGAGGGTCTGTGATGACCGGTTGCTCCCCAATGTCCCTTTCCCTCTGTCCCTTCTGTCCTCTGCCACCCCAGATCACTCCAGCTTGCTGCTGCACGTGAAGCAGTTGGTGTCTGACCTGCGAAGTCTGAGCTGTCAGATGGCTGCCCTTCAGGGCAACGGTGAGGGGCGGGGCGGCGGCGAGGGGCGGGGCCACCAGCCCCACTTTCTTGACACCCCCACCCTCGGTAGCATCTCAGCCCTTCACCCCCCCACCTCAGGCTCGGAAAGGACCTGTTGCCCCATCAACTGGGTGGAGTTTGAGGGCAGCTGCTACTGGTTCTCCAGCTCTTCGAGGTCCTGGATTGAGGCTGACAAGTACTGCCAGCTGGAGAATGCCCACCTGGTGGTGGTGACCTCCTGGGACGAGCAGGTGAGACCCTGCGGTGCGTTCTTCTGGGACGCTGGACGGCGGAAGGAAGAGGTCACCAGCTCTGTTTCTTTCCTCAGGGATTTGTCCAGCGCCACATGGGACCTACAAACACTTGGATTGGCCTGACTGACCATAACGGGCCCTGGAGATGGGTGGATGGGACCAACTACGAGGCAAGCTTCAAGTGAGTGTATGCCTTGCGGGGGGGGGGGGGCACCCAGCTTTCCCAGCCGGTGTTCCCACGGCTAGAGATCTTCCGGGAATGTGACCGAGAGTCTTTTGTCTGTAGGAACTGGAAACCAGAGCAGCCAGATAACTGGTTTGGGCATGGGCTTGGAGGAGGCGAGGACTGTGCCCACATCACCGTTGATGGCCCCTGGAATGATGATGTCTGCAGGAGACCCTACCGCTGGGTCTGCGAGACAGAGCTGGACAAGACCCCTTAGGAGCCTCCCTCCCCTTAATTTATTTCTTTAGTGCCTCGAGCTGCTGAGGTTTGGAATTGGGAGATCCTACCGAGGGGTCTCCATCTCCTCGGGAATTTTCGTCTAGGATTTTAAGGGCAGGGTAAAGAACGGTGTTTGAGGAACATGACATGATGCCTGATGAGGTGGGGTTATTGGAACGCTAGGACGCTTTGTGCACCATGCAGCTTACTACTGTCCACTTTTTTTTTTTTAGAGTAAAAAGAAGAGAAGTAAACTTAACTGTCTCTGAGCTGTCTGGTCACTGGGATTAGGAACCAGGAGTGGGGTGGCTAGCTTTGGGAAGGCCTCGGGCCAGCAGTGGTGCTGGAGAAACAGGGTGGCTTTGGACCGCTGCCTGGTTAGCAGCGTGGCTTTGCTATGTCCAGGTATGGCAACTTGAGGAAGTTTTTCTGTCCTTGAGTCTCAGTTGGGAAATAGAATGATTCTGGCAGGACCCGTAGAGAGCCACAGACCCCCCAGCATTGTGTGCCAGAGACCTGGAATGAAATACACTGACCTGTTGTGTTCATCACAACATCGTAGATTGAACAAGTGTGGTGAATACACAACTCAGGGTCACAAACACAGGAGGACAGAGCATTAGTATTAGCATATTCAACAACCAAGGACGGAGTGAGGGCAGATCAGTACAGACACCTCATAGACACGGGATTATTAACAAAACTGGGCAAAATGTTTGCCCATAAATAGCACCAAAATATAAGAAATGATATATATATATATACACACATATATGTATGTATATACACATATATGTATATATACATAAGTGTACATATACATGTCTATGTAAATGAAGTAATAGATATGTGTTCTTTTTACAAATGCATTGTAGAAAAGTAATATTTTTCCTCTACAGAAAAGATTGGCAAATCTGACAACTAAAATTAGAAACAGGCAACAGACTTGGATGAAATAGTTGCAACACTTATAACGAGTAATTAATATCCAGACTATAAAGAACTACAAAATCACAAGAGAAAAGCTCAACAGAGAAGTGTGAAAAGAGACTGTAGTAAACATCTGTCACTTCTGTTTGAGGGAATTCTTTCCCATGTTCACAAGCAGCCAGAAGGCTACCACCCCCTCCCCCTGCCTCTCTGATGTAGCTGCGTGAGGGCCTGTGCTAGAGACGTTGCCCAGTCAGACCTTTCGATAAGGAAATTGTCTTGAGTATATGACACAAATTTGAAGTAATAGTTGCTGTATGTGAATCATGTTTAAGATATTTAAAAGGGTTATAGAGAAGGCTAATCAGTTAAGAAAGTATATTGCTCTTCTGGAGGTCCCAAATTGGATTCCGGGCAACCATAACAGCCTGTAACACCAGCTCCAGGGGATCTGACACCTCTGGTCTCTGAAGGCACCCCCCCCCCCACATTACATACACTCACACAGATATACACACTTTCACATGTTAAAAATAAAACAAATATTTTTTGTTTTGTTTTTTTGAGACAGGGTTTCTCTGTGTAGCCCTGGCTATCCTAGAACTTGTTCTGTAGCCCAGGCTGGTCTTCAGCTCACAGAGATCCACCTGCCTCTGCCTCCCGAGTGCTGGGATTAAAGGCGTGCTCCACCACTGCCCGGCAAAATAAATTTTAAGAAATAATTTTTAAGAATGTATGTGTAACATGCAAACTGAAAAATAACCATACAGTATAAGTCCATCTACACAACCATAAAAACAGAAAAGAAAAGAGAACCCCTAAACATCAGCAAGTGGGAAATTCCATGATGGAAATATGCAGAGGCTTCATGATTTATCATGGGATGACCTCATCTGATAAACTCATTGCGAACCGTAAGAGCATTTTGCTTGTGTGCACATATGTTGTTATGCGTGGAGACCATAGGCTGATGTTGAGTGTCCTTCTCAACCACTCTCTACCTTATTATTTTTGAGGTAGGGTCTCTCCTGAACCTGGAGCTCACAGATCTATCTAGACTGGCTGGCCAGCCAAGTCCCAGAGATCCCCCAGTCTCTGCCTTCCCACTGCTGGGATTATTATCAAGCAATGCTATGCTTGGGTTATTATTATTTTTTTCATGGGTGCTGGGATCAAACTCAGCTCCTAATGCGTCGGTGGCATGCACCTCACTGAGCTGGCATCCCTCGGCTGGCACATGCATTTATAATGCACCCAATCTCCTGATCATCAGAATTTACTATACACAAGCGATACGTGGAACACGGGTTGTCTCTCCTGATAGTGTGGCTGACTGTGTGCGCTGACTCTGTCGCTGTCTGGCATTACAAAGGAGGACCGTAAGCCAAACAAACCCTTCGTTCTTCAAGTTGCTTTTCGTCAGTATTTTATCACAGCAATAGAGAAGCCAACTAGAACAGGGATCATACAGCATATTGCTTGTCCAGGAAAATATTTCAATTCAAAAATCCACAGTACAGATCTGCCACATGCGTGCTGTTTCCACCATTTGTAGAAATGGTGAAAAATCAGGTCAATCCCCCTTGAGTTAGGTGCATTTCTGTAGCTGACACTAACGACCCTGATACTCACTCTGCTGCCCAAAGCAGCCTCACCAGAAAACCTCCACTGATCGCGCTAACTCTTCCCAGACACCCGTCTTCATTCTCTTCATTACCTGAAACCAACTGTGGTTTGGGGTGTGAAATTGACATTGGCTTAGATTTGGGGTGGGGCAAACGGAGGGGGCGGGCTATAGAGCTGGGCGTGTGTGCCGCAGGCCCTGGGTGCGTTTAAAATGGTAAGACACGGGAGGACGAAGTACGCGGGCCGCGGCATCGATAGCTGCGGGTTACACAGCAGGGAACGTGTGAGTGTGCACGGGTTGCCAGCACGCGGGCAGGAGCGTCAAGGAGAGGAAATCATGTTCATCCTGGTTTTGATCCCCCACCTCTGGTTCTCTGGGGTACAAAAGAGCCATATTTTGTCTGTTGTATCTGTCTGTGGTCCCTTGGTCTAGGACTCTGCCTTACCTGGAGCACCATAGAGCTTCCTTCTCTAAGTCAGGCTGAGCCACCTCGGCATGGCCACTGGATGCAGGCAGGGCAAGAGGGAAACATGAAGAGTCAGAATCCGGAGAGTGGAGCCCGAGGGAAGGAGTTGAGGGAGTGGTTTCTTAGGAGCTGGAGAAGCCTGTGAGCTGGGAAGGAGGAGAGCGAAATGGGAGGGCATTATCCAGTTGCAGCCAGTGTTGGGCACTGGAGGCGATCCTTGAGCGCCTCCTGAGCATACAGCACTGCTGACCTAAGAGGGGAATGACTGGAGGGTTTACCCATCAGTCCCTGCTCTCCACAGCCATTAACTCCAGGTAGCTTTGCATCGTACTTACGCTGGCTGAGCTGGCTCCAAATGGCCCCAGAGAAAGTTCTGGAGCAGAATGTGTAATTCAAGCTTTCAGTGGGAAATCGTCAGTACAACAAGCTGCTCAACTTACCTGGGAGTGTCCAGAAATCAGTGGGTCAAGTGGACGTGAGGGGAGGCACCAGAGACTTATGGTCCACATACCAAAACTCCAGTAGGAAGGGGAGGCACCAGAGACGTCTGCTATGGTCCACATACTAAAACCCTGGTAAGAAGGACAGACATGCTTAACAGCAACTCAAACATAAGACAGGGAAGAGTGACCTCAAGAAATGTGCAAAATATCCCCAAATCCACCAAAGCTTTTCAGAGATCATAAATGTACTTGGATATAGCAGCTGATTCTTGGGGAGGTCACTCTTCCCTGTTTAGTTGATGAAGTCAAGATAATTCCAATCAAAATCCATGAGCCGTGCTTTTGTCTTTTTATAAAAAAATTGACAAAATAAGTCTAAATTTATCTGGAAGAATAAACAGGTTTGAAGTAGATGGCAGGAAAGTTTAAAAAAGAACAGCTAAGGAAACTTATCATCCCAGAACTTAAAATCTATTGTCAAGTGGTGCAATTAAAATGCACTTGGCATGGGTACAGGAACAGGAGATGAGTCAAGGATGCCGGACACGCTTCAGAGCTGGAGCCAGGGACGAAAAGAATCCAGGGACGAGCAGCCTGAGCGAAGAAGGGAGAAGATGGTGGATCACTGTGGGTCCTCCGGGCAAGGGTGCAGGCTGGCCTTCTGTCCAAACAGGGCCTGGTGCTCTGCTGGTTTCCGGCTGGCTCTCCATGTATTCACTCTGCCCTTGCAGGTCGTCTGCCTCCTCCTGTCTGTGGAGGCTTAGCTTCTTTGCTCTTCATGTGACATCCTCATACCACCCCTAACTCTATATAGCTCTATAGTTAGCTATCATCTCTCCTGTTTCCCTCTCTCTCTCTCTCTCTCTCTCTCTCTCTCTCTCTCTCTCTCTCTCTCTTGCTCCATCCTCACAAATGACTAAGAAGGGTCTGGTTGGGTCACCTGATAGTGTAGTAATAAACCGGAGCCAAGGGTCTTGTCTTGGTTGCCACGGCAACTGTGGGAAGAAGGGCAAGAAATATGTAGGTGCTGCAATGTGTAGGGGTTGGAGGTGAGGGAGAACAAATAAGAGTTAAGTATTGATCACACCTAGGGCCCCAGACAAATCCAGTGGATAACCAAGAGCTTCACATCAGAGACCCAGAGACAGGGCAAACTGCTATGAGACATTTGATCCAATACACTGATCTCATCATTTTTTCTTTAAGGATTTATGTAGGTGGAAGTTTCTGTCCCACCAGCAACTCCCATATACCCAGCAGCTGCAATTGACTCCAAGGTTTAATATTACTTATAAATGCTTAGCTGGTAGCTCGGGCTTATTACTAACTAGCTCTTACACTTAAATTAACCCATAATTCTTATCTCTGTTTAGCCACATAGCTTGGTACCTTTTCTCAGTATGACATTCTCATCTTGCTTTCTCTGTGTCTGACTGGCAATTCTTGACTCTGCCCTTCCTCTTCCCAGCATTCTTAGTTTGCTCACCCCACCTATACTTCCTGCCTGGCTACTGGCCAATCAGTGTTTTATTAAACCAATTTGCATGACAAATCTTTATAGTGTACAAGAGGATTTTTCCACAGCATTTTTCTCTTTTTGTCTAATTAAAAAGGAAAGTTTTAGCTTTAACATAGTAAGATTATATATAACAAAACAGTTATTAAATAAGAATTATAGTAACACTATCTAATCCATTTGCATTTGGCAAAATTAGAGAAAATACTTATTTATCTATCTTATTTTGGTGAGTCCAAAGTGTTGTACCTAATTTACTTTCTATCTTAATTTGCAT